AAATTGTGCACAGCGTACTAAGTTAGGTCCAGACTGATGTCAGCGAAGTTTTGTTAAAATCGGTTCATATATAGCCTCGTCCGATTTTTTGTGAATGATGCACCAAATGCCCAATATTTGTCCGATTGGGACAATATTTTGCACAGAGTACTTAATTAGGTCCAGACTGATGTCGGCGAAGATGTGTAAAAAACGATTCAGATTTAGATATAGCTCCCATATATAGTTTCGTCCGATTTTTTTTTTTTTTTGTGAATGATACACCAAACTCCCAATATTTGTCTGATTAGTACAGATTTTTGCATAGAGTACTGAATTAAGTTCAGATTGATGTCTGCAAAGTTTTGCAGACATCATTAAATTGTGAGACACGCTTATATACAAAATCAGATATGTATTTCAATGCAGATTCCACAACTATTTGTGTGAAAACAACATCATTTGTTTTCTGCAAACTATGGGTTAGCATTCGTTTATGATTCATTTTATCGGCATTGTACGCAATTGTCGTTGCTGTCATTTACAATTTCAATCAACTTTTGTTTTATAGGTAATTATTAAACAAAGCAGACGAACTTCAAATATGTACTTGATAACTACATGGTTGTGTTATAGAGATTTGAGATGCGTCAAAGGCTTCCAACCTTTGTACCCCAATTGTTGTACACAGACTTCAAAACGTTTATATATATATATATGGGCAATATTGCCATGTTTTTAATATTCCATTTTCAAAAAATCGGTTTTTTTGTTTTCGTGATACATCAATGATTTTTGGTACACATATAGAGAGAAATGTTCTGACTCCGAAACAGTTCGCGATCAAATTTTTGGTTGATGCACGCAAAAGTTATCGAGGTTTTAATTTTTGGCATAAGAAAACAATTTTGTTTTTGCAAAATAGTCAGGCTGAATCCCAGTTTGTTGTTTTTATAAAAAACAACTATTTATTAGTGGGGAATGTATGGCATTGTTTGCCGAGGGGTAAGGCAGGGAAGACTATAGTTTCGGATCACGCCACTGATCCTCATCAGTTCCCTTAGTTTTTTGTTGGGATATTCTTCCCAGAAGCTATTGCTTCTATACAAAAAACCTTTCATACCCAAATGTCTCTTGTAACAAAGCGAAGTACTTAGCTGACCAACGACATAAACTGCATGAGAATTTCGCTGGAGCCTCACTTCGAGGTTAACAAGGCATTTACAAACAATACCACACCTTTCCCACTGTTGTGTGTTGTCACATCGCGACAAATGCACACAACGACTTTGTTGGTGTTGCTAGTGTACAGCAACAAACCAAACAGTTTAACCGTGCCTGCGTCTACAACTTCAGTAGTGTTGGCGGTTTATTTTGTAGACGCAGGCACGGTTAAACTGTTTGGTTTGTTGCTGTACACTAGCAACACCAACAAAGTCGTTGTGTGCATTTGTCGCGATGTGACAACACACAACAGTGGGAAAGGTGTGGTATTGTTTGTAAATGCCTTGTTAACCTCGAAGTGAGGCTCCAGCGAAATTCTCATGCAGTTTATGTCGTTGGTCAGCTAAGTACTTCGCTTTGTTACAAGAGACATTTGGGTATGAAAGGTTTTTTGTATAGAAGCAATAGCTTCTGGGGAGAATATCCCAACAAAAAACTAAGGGAACTGATGAGGATCAGTGGCGTGATCCGAAACTATAGTCTTCCCTGCCTTACCCCTCGGCAAACAATGCCATACATTCCCCACTAATAAATAGTTGTTTTTTATAAAAACAACAAACTGGGATTCAGCCGGACTATTTTGCAAAAACAAAATACAAATGGTATCCCAAATAAACCGCCAACACTACATAAGAAAACAATCTTAAAATTACGCCGTTTATTGTATTGACCAAAAACGTTGATATCTATCTTCCTTCGTAAAATAAGAACACGAAAAAATTGCACATTTTCGCGAAATATGAGAAGAATAATAAAAAATATAGGAAACTACGTCAATATTTTCATTATATTAATGACATACACACCTAAAAATTAATTAAAAAAAATATCAACATAATCTAAACACCATGATGAATCAAATGATATCAAGATCACAAAAGTCTGTGTAGCGGTTTGTCAATTACAGCGACAACAAAACAAGATATTGAAGAAAAATACGTTTTTGGTTCGAAAAAATGTCATCATATTTATTTTTTTTAATTTTATACAAGAAATTTCAGAAAAAATGTTGGGGTTATTCTTCTATTTTACCCGAATTCCGCCGAAAGATTGACCTATATAAAAATAATCACTTCTACACCTTGTAGCAAGACCCTTCCGATAAATCTTGGCGTTGTATAAATAGGAATAAATCTTAAAATAAAACTATACATTTTAAATTGAATCTAAATCGCGTAATTCTCAAAATCATTTGATGTTAATGAGGAAGTACTGAAGTTGATCTTCCAATCCATGTATATTTTGAAGTACGTTATGCCAAATTTGGTGCAAATCGAAAGATATATAGGGACTTTGGTGAACCATTTACATGAAATCGGATGAAACTATATATGGGAGCTTTATAAAAAGTTCGTGCAAATTGACACAATATCAAAATCTGAATCGATTTTTCCCAATTTCAATAGGGTTCGTCCTTGGGCCAAACAAATGAGCTGTGCTAAATTTCATCCAAATCGGATTATAAATGCGACCTGTACTTTGTTTACAATTTAACACCAACAGACGGAGGGACGGACATGCATAAATCGACTCAGAAAGTGATTCTATGAATATTCTCAAAAGGAACTATGGGTCTATCTCGTTTCCTTTTGCCTGTTACAAACATATGCACAAAGACATAATACCCTGTACCACAGTGTGGTGAAGGGTATAAAAACAAAAAGAACGATGAAAGAGAAAGATTCAAAGGAAGTATGTAGGAATCGGAACTATATGGAGAAAAGGAACTATAAAGAGCAAAGGAACTACGAAGAGCAAAGGAACTGTATGGAGTATAGGAACTACATGGAGCAAAGGAACTAGATGGATCAAAGGAACTATATGGAGCAAAGGAACTATGTTTGAAAATAAGACAAAAACGAAAAAAGAACGATGAAAGAGAGAAATGCGAAGGAACTATGTAGGAGTCGGAACTATATAGAGAAAAGGCACTATATGGAGTAAAGGTACTATATGGATCGAAGGAACTATAAATGGAAAAGAGAGAGATGCAAAGGAACTATGTAGGTGTCGGAACTATATGGAGCAAAGGAACTGTATGGAGTAAAGGAACTATATGGAACAAAGGAACTACATAAGGAACTAGTACGTTTTTAAAAAAATGAACGAGAAAGATCGATCCGCGTAAGTGACATAGATTGCCCAACTCTACAGTAGAGGCTACAAAACGTGAAAACGAATCAGCCACTCCATATGATGAAGGACAATGCATTTCATATCTATGGTTGGAAGGTGAGTATAAAACCCAACAGCATCTCATTAGTGTAAAAATTGCTTCATATTAGAAAAACGCGTATAAGAAAAACACTGATATAAGATATGTTTGTCAAACGCCAAAGCTGACAAAGGTATTAGAAAACGTTTCATATAAGAAAATATATACGATTGTTGGCCAATTTATTAACATTGAAAATGTTTTAAAATAATAAAATAAAATACTTTTTAATTGTATTTGAGAGAATATTATTTATATGAATAGAAACATATGAACTTATTTTGTGAACTGATTTTAATTTAGTAATTTTTAGTACGCATATAAGAAACAACTTTCTTATATCCGATAATATAATATCCATATAAGAAAAAAGGCATATAAGAAAGAAATCGCCGGAAATTCATATACATGTGTAAGTCCAGCATGCTATCAGCCTTGAACCATTATTTCACCCCATCATCCTATGACATATTAATGGCAGCAGCAAATTGTCTATTCAGACATTATTGTCGAATAGGACCAATGGTGGTTATGTAATTACGTAAACGATCGACTTAAAAATTTAGAAAGAACTGTTGGGAGTGAACTGAATTGAAAATCTGTAAAATACCTGCTGCACTAGTCGGTAATAAAGTAATCTATGTGCCTCCGAATAACATCATGGACAAAAGAGGTAAAGCGACAAAACATCATCTTTGTAGTTGCCATTGAACCAAGTCAATAATGAAATACTTAATACAGTGGACTGTACATATAACTTCGTTTTGTACAAATTTCTATCACTAATCGTTAACCCCCATATGTCTAATCAAACATCGAACTATTTTATTGGCTTTGTGTAAAATATATTTCCACAGAACTAATAATCGAAATTAGCGACATCTATTAGAAGTTTACTTCCTCCAATTTGTATGGGTATCCCAACGTGGAAGCTTAGTAGATTCACCAACCACTTGAGACTGTACAAACAACTTAGGAGATAATAGTTTTTAATTTATTTCTCCTTAGAAAAAGAACGACAGAGAGATACCACATTCCCACCACTATGCGACACGTTTCGCCGTTGGTTAAGCGACTCATCAGGCATATTGGGCAATGTGGCTCGATTGAAATTTGGAAGGTACTGCTATATGGGGACCATCGTGAAAAAATTGAACGAATATTGAACATTTTCAGTACGAATATTTGACGGCAAATGAAAATTCAAATTATTTAATAATTCTATTAAAATGTGTAAAAAATTGGTTATTTTGTCGTATATCTGTTGGATATGGGACTATATTATAACGCTGATATATCCAAAACTCTAAAGCAAACATGCGTAGATCAACATACTTTGTGGCATCTCCGGTGAATATTTCAAAGTGTTGAAAATGGAATATACACTCCACCTTAAATACTGAAAATTTTTGTATCCCCCCCAAAAATAACAATAAACACATAATATCCTTTACCACCGTGTTGGGTAGTTTATTTAAACTATATATTTTATCTTATAAATCTATATATAACACAAATTCTCCTTATGCACTATTATAAATATCTTCAATTTGATATTTCTTAACCAAATTAATGTCCTTAATACACGCTTGCACCGTTGTTACCACGCACAACGGTCGTTGTCCACTGTAGTATGGACTCTGCTCACGAACGTAACTTATTTGGCGTATTTCCAAAAAGTTCACCAATTCATCCCAACATGGACATTGCCATGGATTACCTTCCACCGATACTTTTCGTAGCCGAGGAAATGTTGCATTGGTATCAGGCAAAAATGAAAGGCGATTATTATCAATCAACAATTCACTGACATCTGTCAGGCTATCAAGAACCTCTGGAGGTATAACCTCCAATAGATTATTCCCCATGTGCAGTTTGTCTAGACGTCGCATTGGGGCAAACATTCGTACATCCAATGTGGTGATTTCATTATTGCCCAGCGAGAGATACTGAATGAATGGCAACGAGGCAAATGCCAGTGGGTGCAAACGTTTGATGTTATTCGATTTTAAGATAAGTTTTTTCAAACGCGGTAATGTCGACGGTCCAAATACATCTGCATCGAAATATTCCAGTGCGTTTTGTGACAAATCCAGAGTGTCCAGTGTTGTTAACCCGGCAAAGGTATTTGATTTCAGCATTTTTAAATCATTTTCCTGTAAATATAATTTCCTCAACGATGAAAGATTTGAAAACGCTGTTGAATTGAGTGTGGTCAAGCGGTTGCGACTCAAGTCTAAATATTGAAGTTTTATTAAATGTTCGAATTGCTTATCTGTCAGTTCTTTGAGATCATTGGAATTCAAATCTAAACTCAGCAGACGATTGAGACCTTCAAAGACGTCAACATCTAATAGCTCTAAGCTATTTGCGGATAAGTTTAAAGTTTTCAACTGTGTCATACTGCTGAATGTATGATTACCAATATAATGCAAGGGATTTGAGGTTATTTTCAATTCATCCATTCTTTCCAGGCCGCTGAATGATTTAATTGTAAGCTGAAAATGAACAAATAGAAACAAATTTATTAAAACAAAAACTATTGTACATTTTTAAATGTCCCTCCACCATGAATTGTACGTTTAACATAAATGTAAACGTTCCGGATTTTAGAGATATGGTGGGTAATGTCCTGAATTATTTTTGGTTGATTTAATTACCCAATGAGAATCAGGAGGTATTACTATATTGAGGAGATGCCTAAATGTCTGTCGATATATTTTATTACTGTCATGTTTGAGTTTTTTTTATCACAATATCTTTAGAAGGCGGAATGTTTGCAACAGATGGCTAAAACGTCTTTGTAGGGTAACAATTCACTATTCCACGTAACGACTACCCAACCCCAACACACGGAACAAATCAAAATTATTAAACATATGGCTAAATCGACTAAATCGTTTTAGAATTCCATACTATGTGGGATATAAACTGAAAATTTCGTCTACCGAATATCCCCTTACTATGGTGGAATATAGTATATGTGATAACCCCAATACACGAAAAAAATCCTATAACTATTTTAATATAAAAAAGGGGGTTATAAGGGGACTACCCCTGAAAGGGGGTGAATATTAATAATATTCGGTAGGCAGATTTGTTACCATATACCACTGCAAAGTACCAAATTACAGCGAATTCGGTTGAAAACCGTGCTCAAGAAGAGAGATTTGCTACGCAATAAGAACTCAAAGTAAGAAATTTCAGCGTATTCGGTTGAAAAACGGGCTCAAGAACCCCAAAATACCCAAAATTGGGGGTTACCCTTATATGAGGGCTACCCGAAAAATGGACCTATATTTATAATTTTTTGTGGAAAGATTCGATACGCAATAAGAACTCAAAGTACTAAAGTACAGCCAATTCGGTAAAAAAAAATCCGGTCAAAACCCCCCAAAAACTGGAAATTGGGAGGTACCCTTATATAATTTTTAGTGGAGAAATTTGGTACCCAATAAGAACCCAATGTACCAAATATCAGCGAATTCGGCTGAAAAACGCGCTCAAGAACCTCAAAATACTGAAAATTGTGGGTATCCTTGTATGGGGGCTGTCCAAAAAAATGGACCTATATTTATAATTTATAGAGGGGAGATTTGCTACCCAATAAGAACTCAAAGTACCAAATTTCAGGGAGTTCGGTTGAAAAACACGCTCAAGAACCTCAAAATACCGAAAATTGGGGGGTACCCTTATATGGGAGCTATGCCTAACCGTGGACCGATATATGCCATCTTCGAACTTGACCTGCCTGCTGACAAAATACGACACTATGCAAAATTTTGGGGCACTATCTCAATTCGTTTAGACGCTAGAGTGATTACAACAGACAGACGGACATGCTTAGATCGTCTTAGAATTTAAGAATTTCAATCATCTTTTTCTCACGGGGAAGTCCCCACCCCCCTAAAAGGGGGCGAACATTAATAAATTTTGGGAAAGAGATTTTTTTAATCTATATGACTACAAAATACCAAATTTCCGCAGCAAAAATTATTATTATGGACCTAAGTCGGTATTTAGAGAATTTTGAAAAACATTTTTAAATCGAATTCGCTCTATTTTTGTATTCCCATTGGATGATAAATCTGTCTACCCATATATAAGAGTAGCCCCACTGTTAAATATTATGAGAATTTCAATCATCTTTTTCTCACGTCTGTTTCGGTATATTAATGGTCCTATTATAACCTAAGGTAATTTTTGATATTTTGATCGTTATCCTTATGGTGGGGGGTATAAAAAACTTGGTTTTCCCCTACTTCTAATTTAATTAAAAAAAACTGCACTTGAATAACCATAAACAAAGCTTACCTCTTCAATTTGATTATCGCTCAGTGTCAACAATTGCAATTGGGGATAATTATGAAAGCTAACCGTTTTCAATTCGTTATTATCCAAATGTAGACATTTCAATTTTTGAAATGATTTCCATAAATCAGCTTCGATATTTGTTATTGAATTGTGTGAAAAATTGCCATACTGTAAATACAACAATTTATTCTTCAATTCAAATGTTATTTCTGTTAAAGAATTCCAGCTAGCATCGAGATTTCCCAGTCTATTATATATGGAAAAGTAGGAACCTTTTAGTTCTTCTACACCTGTACCCGATATGTTCAAGTATACAAGATTTGTCAGGGCTTTAAAGCCATCATCGTCATTGCTTAATTCCAATGATCTCGCTTGCGATAAATCCAATGATTCCAAGTCATTGCAACAGTTGATAATATCTAGAAAATAACAATTTTCAATTCCCATTTTCATTACTTTCAACAATAATTACCACTAATTTGAAAAGTGTTTTTCTTTTCGTTCAAAATTTTTAGATGTTTCCAATTCCTCTGTGCGGCAGAATGTAAATCCCTTATTTTCTCTATATCAATGCAAACAACAACGTTGTGTGGATGCTCAGAAATATATTGCTGTTGTTGTTGTTGTTGTTGTTGCTGATGCGTTAAAGTGTATTCCAGAAACTGCTGATTTGTATTTATGAATGGTACCAATCCCGTAATCAAAATTAAAATTCTCAATGAATTTAAGATCATTTTATTTATTGTTATTACTTTTTTTTCGAATATGATTGCTTCTATGACTAATAATGTTTCTTTTCTGACTTCAGATTTAAGACTGGCTGCATTTGTTTACGAAGAATACTTTTTGATAAAGAAAAAAAACAGGTTCTCTCCATGAGTTTTTTTATTTGGTTTGTTTACGCGAATTAATGGTGCTAACTTAGTATTTTTGTTGATATTTGCGTTTTCGTCTTGAAATGAACTTCGTTTTTTGAAATTTCGTACAATAGCCTAATAACCGTTATTTTGAAATTTCGTGAGTTGCAAATATGCGATTTTAATTTGTATACCCTCCACCATAGTATGAAGGGTATATTAATTTAGTTTTTTTTTTCGTTTGTAACTCATCGAAATAATCATTTCCGATAAAATATATATATTCCTGATCAGCGTATAATTCTATGCCATGTCCGTCTGTCTGTTGTAATCACTCTAGCCTCTAAACGAATTGCGATACATCGCCAAAATTTTGCATAGAGTCGCCCACGATTAGGCATACCTCCCATATAAGGTTACCCCCCAATTTTCGGTATTTTGGAGTTCTTGAGTGGCTTTTTCAGCCGAATTCGCTGAAATTTGATACATTGAGTTCCTATTGGGTACTAAATGTCTCCACAAAAAATTATGAATATAGGTCCACTTTTTCTAGTAGCTCCCATATAACAGTACCTCCTAATTTTCAGTATTTTAGGGGCTTTGATCGTATTTTTCCACCGAATTGGCTGTAATTTAATGTTCTGGATTCTTAATAGGTTCCAAATCTCTCCACAAAAAATTATGCATATAGATCCATTTTTTCGAATGGCCCCCATATAAGGGTACCCCAAATTTTCGGTATTTTGGGGTTCTTGAGCGCGTTTTTCTACCGAATTCGCTGCAATTTGGTATTTTATAATCGTATATGAAAACAAATCTCCCCACCTAATATTCACCCTTTTTTTTGGCGAAGTCCCCATATAACCCACCTTTTTATACCCTTCACCACACTGTGGTACAGTATATTACGTCTTTGTGCATATGTTTGTAACAGGCAAAATGAAACGAGATAGACACATGGTTCCTTTTGAGAATATGCATAGAATCGCTTTCTAAGGCGATTTATGTATGTCCGTCCGTCCGTAAAGGTCGCATTTATAATTTGAATTGAATGAAATTTGGCACAGCTCATTTATTTGGCCCTACTGAAATTGGGAAAAAGTGGTTCAGATTTAGATATAGCTCCCATGTATATTTTCGTCCGATTTAGGGAAAATGGTGCACCAAAGTCCCTAAATGTCTTTCGATTTAGGTCTGGAATGACGTGTACTAAGTTTCGTGAAAATCGGTTCAGATTTAGATATAGATATAAATGGTGCAGCAAAGCTCCTGAAAATCATTCGATATGTACGAAATTTGGTATAGCGTAATGAATTAAGTCTAGAATGACGTGTGCTAAGATTTGTGAAAATCAGTATATATTTAGATATAGCTCCCATATATAGTTTCGCCCGATTTTTGATAAATAGTGCAACAAAGTCCCTATATATCTTTCAATTTGCACGAAATTTGGCAAAGCGTACTGAATTGAGTCCAGAATGATGAGTGGTGAGTTTCGGGAAAATCGGTTCAGATTTAGATATAGCTCCTATATATATTTTTGTCCGATTTTATGTAAAAAGTGCACCAAAGTCTTTATATATCCTTCGATTTGCACAAAATTTGACAAAGCGTACTGCATTGAGTCTAGAATGATGGGTGGCAAGTATGAGTATGTTCCTTCGAGGGAAAATTGAAATGCATTGTAAGGATACATATGTACAATATAATCAAAGGTGAACGGTATCATATAGTCGGCCAAGTCCGACTTTACTACTTTCTTTACTGATTTATATTAAAACAGTTATCTAATTTGTTCCGCGTTTTGGGTTTGGTTATAAGACTCTGTTGTAATCATTTCAAACTAATGAACTATATATGAACTCGCATTTAGGCCTAGCCCCTGTGTGAGAGGTACCAGAAGGAGTGGACCAATATTCCCCATCTTCGAACTTCAACTATGTTTGGAAGAAATAATAAGATGGGCAAAGTTTGGATGAGATCAAAATTTTCTGAAACAAATTTGGTCGAAAGAAACATGGAGTCTAGAACCAATATTTCGATGAGGCATATTTTCACCGTGTCAAAGTGAATACACCCTCATTAGCCTTAAGGCTGAGAGTATAATTATCCATTAAAAATTTCTGAAATTTTTATAATGGTTTACATAATCGGTTTGTAGAAATATCGGTATAGATCCACTTTTTGGTATTTTCCCTATATTTTAATTTCAAGTACCTGTCAGTATATCTTTGGTGGAGGATATCCAAAGTTTGGTCCGGCCGAACTGAACGCTTTTTCATTTGTTTTTCTTCAGAAAGGTCATAACTGATGCCAAATAATATGTGTATGACTATGACATTGAAACCAAATGGACACATCCCAAAGAGCCAAGACCGAAAATAGCGATCACAAGACACGCGCGAAGCAATTCGTCAGAAGCACACAGGTAACTCTTGGTCCAAAGTTTTCAGATATCGGAGTGTAGGATTATATGTAGGCAGTTTTGGAAATGTTTTACACATTTGTACAAAAGTACGAAGTCGTACTATAATTGGTACAATTTTGATTTGAGTAAACCGATAGGTGTGGAACATTGAAATTTGGAAATAAGGTTATTTTGAAGTGTAGGATTGGGGTATTCATGTAGTTTTATAAATTCATACTTATGGGTACTAAATGGTACTAAATTTGACAAAATTTGAATTTTCGGTGGACCGATAGAGGTGGGATTCTAAAATTTAGAGATAAGATAATTTTTGGTGGGTAGGATTGGGGTTGTGTAGGAAGTTTTGGAAATTCGTACTATTGTGTACTAAATGGTACCAGATTTGAATTTTGGTGAACCCATAGAGCTGGGACATTGAATTTTGGAAATATGGTTACTGTTGTAGTGTAGGATGGATGTAGTTTGGAAATTCATACTTCTGGGTACTAAATGGTATTAAATTTTGTACAATTTGAATTTTGGGTGAACTAATAGAGCTGAAGTCTTGAAATCACTGTTGAGGTGTAGAATTGGGCTATGTAGGAAGTTTTGGAAATTCATACAAATGTGTACTAAATTTGGTACAATTTAAATTTGAAATTCGTACTGGTGCGTACTAAACGGTACAAAATTTGGATTTTGGTGAACCGATAGATCTGGAATTTTGAAATTTGAAGTAAGGATCACTGTTGGGGTGCAGGATTGGGCTGTGTCGGAAGTCTTGGATATTCATATTAATGTGTACTAAATTTGGTACAATTTAGAATCCTGAAATTTGGAGTTAGGATCTTGTTGGGGTGTAGAATTGGGGTATATAGGAAGTTTTGAAAATTCATACTAATGTGTTTTAAATGGTTCTAAGTTTGATACAATTATATTAGGGTAAAACGATCGGGCTGGAATCCAAAAATTGGGAAATCTGATTTCTATTGGATTTATATTAATGTGTACTAAAGGCACAAAAATTGACAACATTAAGATTTGACCTATAGGGCTCGAATCGTGAAATTTGACACTTTCACTTACATTTTCATAGTGAGAGTCGGGTGTATTCATGTTTTTCTATATAAAAGAAAATCTTTTTTTGAAATAAAAAAGGCACATGATTAAAATCACAAAATTAAGATAAAACGCATTTAAACCCCTATTTTAAAAAGATACTTAGGTTTGTGTTGCATTTATTCCGAATGAATCTTTCGATTGACACAAAGAGCTGATTTGAAATAACAGCGTACAAGATATGGTTATTAAATGTTCCCCTTGAATCAGTCAACAAATTAATGACCATAAAGAGTCTTTCATGCATATATTTTATGTTGCGAATAATAAAATATTAAAAAATAATAAAATTATTATTAGAATTTACGAAATTACTAAAAAATAATAGAAACAATGTAAAAAACGAATACAGTTTATATTGTATGGTAACACTATTTCTGCGAAGTATCATGTCGGCGTATATTCTTGTCGCAGTTCGAAAATTTCAAATCACATGAGATGCAGAACAGGAGGTAACTTCTGAGGTGAAGTGTATGTGTGAAGTGAAAAGAACACACCGTGAGTTCCAGAACATACCCGATTGCCTGGTAATTATCAGCGCTATCAGTCTTGTTGAAATTCTGATCCTCTAATAGTTCTATTTTGTTTTAATACTCCATGTTTGATTTTTAAGGCTATATTTTCTAGCGGCGGGCGTTGACGTCTCAAGGCCACACACACCATCAGAATTAGTTTTTTCTATATAAGGTGTTCTTATCTATAAGATGTCCGTGGTCTACTGTAGCACTATCTGTATATGACCGAATGGGCCCACTTTAAAATGCAGAATCTACCCCGAAGGTATTTTTTATAGTGTTTTTTCATTTGTATACCCTTCACCACACTGTGGTACAGGGTATTATGTATTTGTGCATATGTATGTTACAGGGAAAAATAATCGAGATAGACCCATGGTTCCTTTTGAGAATATGCATAGAATCACTTTCTGAGTCGATTTATGTATGTCCGTCTGTCTGTTCTTCCGTCCGTCCTTGCATTTTTGTTAACAAAGTACAGGTCGCATTTATGATCTGATTTGGATGAAATTTGGCACAGGTCACTTAATTGACCCAAGGACGAACACTATTGAAATTGGGAAAAAATCGGTTCAGATTTAGATATAGCTCCCATATATATTTTCGTCCGATTTAAGGTAAATGGTGTACCAAAGTCCCTATATATCATTCGATTTGCACGAAATATGGCATAGCGTGCTGAATTAAGTCTAGAATAGTGCACGTTAAGTTTCGTGAAGATCGGTTTGGATTTAGATATAGCGCCTATATAAATTTTCGTCCGATTTTATGTAAATGGTGTACCAAAGTCCCTATACATATTTCGATTTGCACAAAATTTGGCATAGTGTACTGAA